AGCTCAACATTAGAACTCCAGGGCTGGCCATTCATTCAGTTGTATTTGTCTCAAAGGTCTTCAAAAAGAAAAGAATACTTGTGATTTTGAGAAATAAATGCTCATTGATACTTTGTGCAGATAAAACAGCGTTATGGATAGCGAGTCACTTGTATGTCAAAATAATTGTGCTTTCCTGTGTTCTGGATGGAGTGGCATTCCCCTGAAATACTCAGAAGTACTGTTAGCTTTTACAATCTTCCCTTCGATCCCTGAAAGAAACATGGACTTCAGGGATCCATACTCCAAAACTTCCAAGTGTAATAGGAATTTGCATTGGATTTACCTTAAGGTTGTCTGCTAGATTTGAATCTTAATAGAACCCAATTATCTGAAGAATGGCATAAATAATAACTCTGACTGTGAGACCATCATCAGAAGCCCTTCTTCATGTGCCAAATGTGAGCAAAATGGAGTAAATTACTACCAGAGAAGAGGGGTTTCTGATACATGTTGGATACTCCTGATACACTTTAGCTATGCGTTGTTCATTTGTTCAGTCGTTTCCGACTCTTTGTGACCTCATGGACCAGCCCACGCCAGAGCTCCCTGTCGACTGTCACCACCCCCAGCTCCTTCAAGGTCAATCCAGTCACTTCAAGGATCCCATCCATCCATCTTGCCCTTGGTCGGCCCCTTTTCCTTTTTACTTCCATTTTCCCCAGCATCATTGTCTTCAGAGGCGGCCCTAGGTAAGCAAACAGTATTTTGGCACCCCCCCCCCAACCAATCATTGATATGGAACAGGAACGAGAGGGGCTAGGCGAGGCTCAAGGGCCCGGCCCCTTCGGGAAGAGGATTGCCCAGCAGTGAGGCAAGGAAGCCAAGGCTCCTCCCGGACTGCTAGGGCTGTTGTGAGCTAAGTGGCCGCTCCTCAAGTGGCACCTCAGGGCCCCTAGCAAAAAAAAGTGTACCACAACCGCTTACTTTGCGTATTGGATGAGCCGTCCCTGATTGTCTTCTCTAAGCTTTCCTGTGTCCTCATGATGTGGCCAAAGTACTTCAACTTTGCCTCTACTATCCTTCCCTCCAATGACCAGTCAGGCTTTATTTCCTGAAGTATGGACTGGTTTGATCTTCTCGCAGTCCAAGGCACTCTCAGCACTTTCCTCCAGCACAACAGTTCAAAAGCATCTATCTTCCTTTGCTCAGCCTTCCCTATAGTCCAGCTCTCACATCTGTAGATGACTATGGGGAATACCATTGCTTTAACGATGCGGATCTTTGTTGTCAGTGTGATGTCTTTACTCTTCACTATTTTATTGAGATTGGACATTGCTCTCCTCCCAAGAAGTAAGTGTCTCCTGGCTGCAGTCTGCATCTGCAGTAATCTTTGCACTTAGAAATACAAAGTCCGTCACCGCCTCTACATTTCCCCCCTCTATTTCCCAGTTGTCAATCATTCTTGTTGCCATAATCTTGGTTTTTTTATGTTTAGCTGCAACCCAGCTTTTGTGCTTTCCTCTTTCACCTTGATTAGAAGGCTCCTCAGCCCGTCCTCGCTTTCGGCCATCAAGGTGGTATCATCTGCATATCTAAGGTTGTTAATGCTTCTTCCAGCAATTTTCACCACAGCCTTGCATTCGTCAAGCCCTGCACATCGTATGTGTTCTGCATACAAGTTGAATAGGTTGGGTGAGAGTAGACAACCCTGCCGTACGCCTTTCCCAACCCTGAACCAGTCTGTTGTTCCATGGTCAGTTCTTACTGTTGCTACTTGGTCCTTATACAGATTCCTCAGGAGAGATATAAGGTGATTTGGTATGCCCATACCACCAAGAACTTGCCAGAATGTATTATGATCCACATTTTAGCTATATATCTTTGCAATTCAGTAGCTGGGTTGTTTGGTGCCTCTGTTACTTAGATATGTGCAAATTTACATCATGTGCCTGGGCTTAGGATCCTGGTTGATATTTGCAACCAAAATGAATAATCATTAAAAATAAAAAAATACAAAATAGAACAGAATAGAATACCACAAACGACAAGAAAAACAAAAACATGCACAGAGTACTATCAAAAGTGATTTTAGCAATAGGACAGAAAAATTAAAACACAAAAAAAACCCAAAGAAAGTCAATACAGAATAAATGTAATCATATGAATTTGCAGATATAAAAACCTTGGGATGAGTTAGAAATGTCTTGAAGGCATATAATAGTAAAAGTATGATCTGTGTTTGTGGAACGAGTTTTGGTCAGGGACATAAATCATGATAAAAAACTTGAAGGTTTGAAGATATTGAAACAACAATATAAATTAAGAGTATACGCCGATGACGTGGTCTGCATCATACAAAATTCTCTGAATAATATTAATCTATGGTTTAACAAAATTGAAACTTTTGGGAAACTTGCAGGATTCAAACTAAACAAACAAAAAACCAAAATGTTAGTGAAAAACATCGATGGCAAAGCAAACAAAATAGGAAATAAAAATAGAAAATAAAATAACTCAGGGGTGACGATAACCCAAAGCAATACAAAATTACTAAAAAATAATTACGAATCACTATGGAAAAAAATCCAAAAAGAATTGGAGAAATGGAAATATCAAAATATATCCCTATTAGGCCACATTGCCATAATAAAAATGACTATCCCATTATGGGTATCTCCAATTGAGGCAAGACACAAAAGGGAACTAGCGGAAGTTATGTATTTTGGACAGAAAATAATCATACAAGTGAAACTTAGTACTGTCTTCTGGATTGTGCTCATATCCCAGCTTTTTTCTACATTTATTTTATACATTCATATATGGTTATCACACACCCAAATACATATCTTTTTCCACTATGTCAACCGTAATAGAAAAGTACTTAACAGAAAATAAAATAAATGGACACGATTTAAAATGGGAGATTTATCTTGTCATATCTTTAAGCATATTTTTAAAAAATCAAATCAGCTAAAGGATGAAGGCACACTCTTGCAAATCATTAGAACTTTTATGTAATCTCAGCTAAGCATGGAAGTAATTTCCATTAATGTTTGTTCCAAGTTTTTTTTTTAAAAAAACTGAGCTCTTGACAGGAAGAATAATAAACTGGAAAGAATAATAAATCTTCTTGCCATATGCGAGCATCCCAAACTTTTGTGGAGGAATGATTTTGTATAGAAAAACATGATTTGTTTATGTGAAAACCTGTTTTATGTACAAAAACTACTTTTGTGCAAAAAAAAAACTAAGAAAGAAACCCACTATTTTGTACAAAAACACGCATATGGTTCCTTCGCAACACTCAAGGACATTCAAACACAGGGAGAAGACTGCAAAGGATTTTTTTATATCCTGTACCAAGGGGGAAAATACTGTAACTTTTCATTACTTCTTGCACCGGAGATCCCTGTGGCGCGGTGGGTTAAACCCCTGTGCTGGCAGGACTGAAGACTGACAGGTCGCAGGTTCGAATCCGGGGAGAGGCGGATGAGCTCCCTTTATCAACTCCAGCTCCTCATGTGGGGACATGAGAGAAGCCTCTCACAAGGATGATAAAAACATCAAATCATCCGGGCATCCCCTGGGCCAATTCTCTCACACCAGAAGCGACTTGCAGTTTCTCAAGTCATTCCTGACACGACAAAAAAAATTACTTCTTGCAAGAATGAAACCTTGAAGATTTATGTTGCTAAACTGCCAAAAGGATAAAATTCAAGTGGACTTTGTGTAAATTGAGTTGGGTTTGAAAGCATAGGGCACCTGCCCTTCAGCTCAAAGGTTTACAACTGCTGTAAATCCAATTTTCATATGGAGCATTCCCCATGTATTATTTGTCCTATAAGGAAAAAATACCTTGACTTTATCTTAAATAGAATTCTCAGGATTTATAGTACTACAATGCTGAAATCTACCTAAATATTAAAAGCATGCACGGCTTTGTAATATATATGATATAGTAGCCCTTGATGGATAAAATAATAAGAAACAAATGTTTTAATGTGTTGATTTGAACATCTGACTAGGAAGAGTTCCTGTTTTCTGATATCTTTTTATAGTCAACCACTCTCCACATTTGGTTCCTATCTAGACTTTAGGAAATAATTTGAGGGTACAGTTTCAACATTTTCTTAGTGTATACACAGAGGCGGCCCTAGGTAATTTTCAAAGGTAAGCAAACAGTATTTTGGCCCCCCCCCCAACCAATCATTGATATATATTTTCTGTTAATCGTGGGAGTTCTGTGTGCCATATTTGGTTCAATTTCATCATTGGTGGAGTTCAGAATGCTCCTTGATTGTAGGTGAACTATACATCCCAGTAACTACACTTGCCGCACTTGCTCCCTTGCCTGGCCCGCTTTGGGTCCGGAGGCCTGAAGACCCCGGCGTGTGCACCAAAAGTCACCTCTTCTCCTGACTTTCTCCTCAGCCATTGGGACCAAGAGAGAGAGAGAGAGACAGAGGTGGAGATGCCCACCTTTCCTGAAGGTAGGCGCAAAAACAAAGGAGGGAGCGGAGGTGGGAGATACCTCCAGCCGGAGGGGCTCTCTCTCTCTCTCTCTTGGTCCCAATGGCTGAAGAGAAAGTCAGGAGAAGAGGCGACTTTTGGTGCGCACGCTGGGGTCTTCAGACACGCCTCCGGACCCAAAGCGGGCCAGGCAAGCTCCGCCCCTTGGCCCACCCGCGGATTGGGGAGAGGAGAGGAGGCGGGTGGAGTGCCAGGGGATTGGGAAAGGGAGCCGGTCATGGGGAAGGGATCGAATGCGGAGAACGATTGAGCGCTGGCTCTGCTCGCGCACCCGGTGGCCGGGTGGAGCAGGAACGAGAGGGGCTAGGCGAGGCTCAAGGGCCCGGCCCCTTTGGGAAGAGGATCGCCCGGCAGTGAGGCAAGAAAGCTGAGGCTCCCCCGGACTGCTAGGGCTGTTGTGAGCTGAGGGGGCGCTCCTCAAGTGGCGGTTGAGGGGCATTTACAGAGGCGCCTCTGCGCCCCTGGCAAAAAAAGTGTTCTGTGACCGCTTACTTCGCGTAATGGATGAGCCGCCCCTGTGTATACACACAAACACCCCTCCAAAGCATAGATTGCTAGAAGTTAAAGGCAGCGGATAAACTCTAATATTAAAAAAAGGATAGCAAATGGCATTCTTTGCTATATAACGTTAACTAAAGCACAGCTTTCCTTAACAATCTTACATTAAAAAAAGAAAACAAGGAAACTGTTCTACAGTCAGAGCTCCACATTGGCTAGTATTAAGAGCACAAGACCCCCATGAAAGTGAAAAACAAATAAAAATAGTGATTTCTAAAATCTAAGAAAACATCACTCAAGGAATTTCTAGGTCTTCCAGCACAACTATGGTCAACATCTGCTGGAAGCCGACTGTAGAATTACCACATAGGGATTCCTAGGGAGAACCTTTTTAGTCCAATTTACAAAAGTCAAACTTAAAAATGTGGTGGAGTGACTGTAGTTAGTTTCTGGTGCAATTATGCAGGAGAATCAATTGCAGAGTAAATACAACACACATTAGGGAGAGATGAATTTTCCACAATTTGGTGTGAAGGATTTCTGATTTTGCATGCAAGTGCAGAATAATCACAAACCCCTGAGTGTCTCTGTTTATAATGTGGGGAAATGAGATACAATGAGAGGCAAATGAGTGAGAAGGCTCCAATCTGTTCTGTACTCTAGTGCGGCAAAGGGTGAGCTCCGTTGGTTCCATTCATAAGCCTAGAAAGAAAAAGGAAAATCTAAGCGTATGTCATGCTATCAATATAAAGTAAAAACACAGACATGTGCTTTTCACCTCAAGAACAGACAAGCATCCTGAGCTCTGAGGATGTTATAGAAGACCTAGAAAATGTCTAGAGAAGATATATTTTGTCAGACATAGATAAATTAAAATGTGGGTTTTGGTCCTGCTGATCCTGGGGGCTGTCCCAGAGTGTGGTGGAGGCTCCTTCTTTGGAAGCTTTTAAACAGAGGCTGGATGGCCATCTGTCAGGGGTGCTTTGAATGCAATATTCCTGCTTCTTGGCAGGGGGTTGGACTGGATGGCCCATGAGGACTCTTCCAACTCTATGATTCTATGATTCTATGATACTGGGGGTATATTGGGGGCTCCCGCCTTCATTGCAAGTGCGACTTGTGGGGACGAGAGAGAGGGTCTTCTCTGTGGTGGCCCCTCGGCTCTGGAATTCGCTCCCCAGAAATATTAGGCAAACTCCCACCTTGGAAATCTTTAGGAGGAGCCTGAAAACTTGACTGTTTCAATGTGCCTTCAATGACTGAATGTATTATAATCACTGACCAAACTCTGCATAAAATGTCCTCAGAAGCACTTTATTCTCTGGTTTGTGCAATGAACTCCTACCTTATCTCCCGGATCCCCTTCCTGATATTTTACACTGTCCTATCTCCCAGGGTTTTGAAATTTTAATTTTTGTGCTGGCCCTGCCCATTGTGTTCATTTTTAGTGGTTTAATGTTTTGATTTTATATTGTTGTGCTGTATATTTACATTTTGTATTTTATGTTATTTTATTTTCTGTTGTGTTTTTGTGTTATATTGTGTTTCTGTATTGATGGGCGTGGCCTCATGTAAGCCGCCCCGGCCCCCATAGAGGAGATGGTGGTGGGGGATAAATAACGTTTATTATTATTATTATTATTATTATTATTATTATTATTATTATCCTCCCAACCCTGCTATATGCCTGTGAGACGTGGACTGTCTACAGACGTCACATGCAACTCCTGGAACGATTCCATCAGCGCTGCCTCCGGAAAATCCTGCAAATCTCTTAGGAAGACAGGTGGACAAACGTCAGCGTGCTGGAAGAAGCAAAGACCACCAGCATTGAAGCGATGGTCCTCCGCCATCAACTCCACTGGACCGGCCACGTTGTCCGGATGCCCGACCACCGTCTCCCAAAACAGTTGCTCTACACCGAACTTAAGAATGGAAAACGGAATGTTGGTGGACAGGAAAAGAGATTTAAAGATGGGCTCAAAGCCAACCTTAAAAACTCTGGCATAGACACTGAGAACTGGGAAGCCCTGGCCCTTGACCGCTCCAGCTGGAGGTCAGCTGTGACCAGCAGTGCTGCAGAATTTGAAGAGGCACAAATGGAGGGCGAAAGGGAGAAGCGTGCCAAGAGGAAGGCGCATCAAGCCAACCCCGACCGAGACCGCCTTCTGCCTGGAAACCAATGCCCTCACTGCGGAAGAAGATGCAGAGCAAGAATAGGGCTCCACAGCCACATACGGACCCACAAGAACACTGGAAGACAATCCTCCTCAGAAAACAAGGGATCGCCTAAAAGTAAGTATTATTATTATTATTATTATTATTATTATTATTATTATAGTAAAAGCAAAAGGAATACTGCTATTTTAATTATTATTTTTGATCATTTTTAGTTAAGCTTTGTCCCCCAAAAGTTCTCCTGGACACTCTTTTATAAAATGTATATTTTTCAAAATGCGTAAGATTTTTTTTCAAAAGACTTTGCTTTCATAATAGGTATGGGTGGAAAAATTAACAACATGGAAAAATCATTGTTGGTGAGATTTAATAACATTCAATGGAAAAGAGGAGTGCAAACAGAAAGACTCACCTTTTACATTTGCATCGCCGTCTTCTTCTGCGACCTTCAATTCATTTTTATAGTATGGGAGAGAGAAGAATAGATGATTTCATTAACACTTACTGTGTCTCACTGCTTTGCTGTTATTTACCTTTTCTCTTTTAGTTGACTACGGTCTTGGGCATATTACACTACGTAAAAAAATTCAAAAATGTTTTGTTTCTGTTTTGAAATTGGTATTTCCTATTTAGTTGTGTGGTACTTACTTTGAAAATAGTTGTTATACTCTAGAAAGTTTTTTTGTGGCTGCCACAAACTATGTTGACTTGATTGAGACTCTATGAGAGATCAATTGAAAAACTATAGCAAAATATGTTGCAGGATGTCCTGCAATAACAAAGTTTTTGCTGTTTAAAAAACTTGTCCCATTTTTTTTTTATGATAGAACCAATTATATAAATATCTATACAAATATCAGGAAGCTGCAAAATTTGTTGCTGGTGTTCTTGGTTTTTTGTTTTTATTTTAAATATCCAAATAAGATTTTAAACTTGTGTGATTTTAAACAAATATCTTATTAATGTAATGTTTTTAATGAATTATTTCAAATGTATTTTATTTATGACTGTGGTTGGCATTTAATGAATGGGTTGTTGTAGGTTTTTTCGGGCTATATGGCCATGTTCTAGAGGCATTCTCTCCTGATGTTTCACCTGCATCTATGGCAAGCATCCCCAGAGGTAGTGAGGTCTGTTGGAACTAGGAAAATGGGTTTATATATCTGTGGAATGACCAGGGTGGGACAAAGAACTCTTGTCTGCTGGAGCTAGGTGTGAATGTTTCAACTGACCATCTTGATTAGCATTTGATGGCCTGGCAGTGCCTGAGGCAATCTTTTGTTGAGAGGTGATTAGATGTCCCAGATTGTTTCCCCTCTGTTGTTTTGCTGTTGTAATTTTTGAGTTTTTTAATACTGGTAGCCAGATTTTGTTCATTTTCATGGTTTTCTCCTTTCTGTTGAAATTGTCCACATGCTTGTGGATTTCAGTGGCTTCTCTGTGTAGTCTGACATGGTGGTTGTTGGTGTGGTCCAGCATTTCTGTGTTCTCAAATAATGTGCTGTGTCCAGTTTGGTTCATCAGGTGCTCTGCTATGGCTGACAAAAACTGTCCAAACTCTGGGACATTCTACATACATCTTATTCTAAGCCTTTGTGATGAAGTCCTAGAAAAATTCCAAACAGTTTTGGGGTAGTTCCTGGCACTCGTTACAATATTTCATTCCTAATGTGAATTGGTTTATTTTTTTAACTCCGAGATACAACAAACAAAACAAAACTCCTCTTCCCTTCCTTAAATCAATTAGATTAACAATACTATATGGTGCATTGGTAAAATGAGATTCTGCACTATAAATCTAATATTTTTTTAAAAAATCAGAGAGGAAAATACTTGTAATCACTTCATCAAACCATACAAAGATGAGTTTCCCTTTTCTGGATACCAAGTCATTATAATTACACTATTTAAGTGATGAAATATGCACCATATTTTATGTTAATCTCCCTCCATGCCATCCTAGGAATGAGATGAAATCCACTTACCACAGCACACTATGGTGATCACCAAGCTTATCAACAGAATGAAACAACTGCCAACTAAAGGGATCCAGATATAGATCTCACAGGGGAACACTGGATCCAAACCCTCACCTGCAGAAAAAAATAATAAAAATTGTTGAGATTAATTTCACAATTCAGCAACAGATCAGTTGCACAACTTCAGCGCTTTCAAATAGCTTCTTCCTTCACAGTATTTTCAGTCAACTGCTCCCACAAACTGCAGTCACTCTGGAACTCTTTTGCAGAGACTGGAGCACATGCCCGGCCATTGTCAGTTTTACCATTGTCTTTTCCCCAGTCTAGATGACATTACAAACTTACCACAGCACACAGTTATATCTTGTCTTACCAGACAGGTTCTTTTAATCAATTACATAGAGCCTTCGACGGACAGCATTACAGCACAAGGAGAAAGAATACACTGTACATGACTTCCTTATATACAATTCTGTACATTTTCACATAGCAATCTCTGATTGGTTCCCAACTCATTAACTTAACTCAGACCCAGGATTGCATCATTCACAATCACCTGGACTAGGCCAGAACACATTCCCCAAATGATTCCCTATATACAATTAATGCATGACGCAGCATTTCCAATAGAAGCCTATTAGCAGTGCATGACTCAGCTATATTACATTACAATACATTGTAAAACCTGACAAAAATGAGCTCTGAGAACAATAACCAATACACAATCAATAGGAACGCCACTTTGAAATTCTATGCTCATTCTGTAGCACTCACCTGTGCTTTAGTGGCACTGCACAATTATAATGCTATGATTCCACTTGGAAATATATGGGGACACAACGTATTTCATGGAAAGCTATCATTTATATTCTTTAAAAATATATGATTTGTAAGATAATAATATACATTTCCAAGATTTTTGTCATTTCCCATTACATTTGTGTGATACACTTACCTGCACATTGTAGCTGCTGACACATTAACGTGTTGCGACACACAATTTGGAAAGCTCTGTTTTAGAGTTACAGTTTTTAAGACAGTTTTCCATCCAGTCTTAGTGACAAAAATAGTATCTTAACTAACACAAGACTGCTGATTTTGTTCCAACAGACTAAGATGTCTATCTATTCCCCTGATTAAGTATGATATATATGTTCAGAAATCTAGAAAAATGGATTTGACCCAGAATAAGTGCACAGTTCTTATGAGGAAACTAGACCTACATAGGAAAATTACTCACCATAACAAGTCTTGCTGTTATCAAATTTCATCCCTTTTAGTCTAATTATCTACTTTTTATAGTAGCAGTGAAAAACATATATTTTGAGATGCCAACCCAAAATATTTTGAGATGCAAACAGGACTTCCCTGTTATTTGTCAGAAGCACAGGATTCTCAAAACAAACCGCCTTTGTACAAGGAGGGGTTTTCTCTATTGCAGTTGATCGTTGGTACTTATCTATTTTGAGTCTCCTTGTGGAGAGAAAAAGAGGAGTACAAATAAACATAAACATAACAACAACAACAACAACAACAACAACCTTTATTTATACCCCACCACCATCTCCCCAATAGGGAACTCGGGGCGGCCAAGCCCAAAAATACAATACAACACAATAAAATACAGAATACAGAAAAACAAAAGTTACAAAACAACAAAAACAACAATAATGAAGTCCTCCATGGCACACCTAGTTTTAATGCCATCTAATCTAGTGGCACTCTTCAAATTTTGCAGAAGTGATTTCTAGTTCATAGTTAGGTAATTTGTGAACAGCGCTGGGTGCACAAAACAACCATACATTAGAGAGCACAAAGATATCTGCTTTATTTATTTATCGTGTCATCCGCAACCAGAACATTGTATTACATTTCTAACAGAACAAAACAAACAAACAGATTAAAAAAACCCCAAATTTTGCAAACTTGGTAGCTGATTAAATGTCCTTTGACCAGTATCTGGCCACTTGGAGTGTCTCTGGTGTTGCCGCAAGAAGGTCCTCCATCGTGCATGTGGCAGGGCTCAGGTTGCAATGCAGCAGGTGGTCAGTGGTTTGCTCTTCTCCACACTCGCATGTCGTGGATTCAACTTTGTAGCCCCATTTCTTAAGATTGGCTCTGCATCTCGTGGTGCCAGAGCGCAGTCTGTTCAGCGCCTTCCAAGTCGCCCAGTCTTCTGTGTGCCCAGGGGGGAGTCTCTCATCTGGTATCACCCACGGATTGAGGTGCTGGGTTTGAGCCTGCCACTTTTGAACTCTCGCTTGCTGAGGTGTTCCAGCGAGTGTCTCTGTAGATCTAAGAAAACTATTTCTTGATTTAAGTCGTTGACGTGCTGGCTGATACCCAAACAAGGGATGAGCTGGAGATGTCTCTGCCTTGGTCCTTTCACTATTGGCTGCTACTTCCCGGCGGATGTCAGGTGGTGCAATACCGGCTAAGCAGTGTAATTTCTCCAGTGGTGTGGGGCGCAGACACCCTGTGATAATGCGGCATGTCTCATTAAGAGCCACATCCACTGTTTTAGTGTGGTGAGATGTGTTCCACACTGGGCATGCATACTCAGCAGCAGAGTAGCATAGCGCAAGGGCAGATGTCTTCACTGTATCTGGTTGTGATCCCCAGGTTGTGCCAGTCAGCTTTCGTATGATATTGTTTCTAGCACTCACTTTTTGTTTGATGTTCAGGCAGTGCTTCTTGTAGGTCAGAGAACGGTCCAGAGTGACTCCCAGGTATTTGGGTGCGCTGCAATGCTCCAGTGGGATTCCTTCCCAGGTAATCCTCAGAGCTTGGGATGCCTGTCTGTTCTTAAGGTGAAAGGCACATGTCTGTGTTTTAGATGGATTAGGGATCAGTTGGTTTTCCCTGTAATAGGCAGTTGGAGCACCTAGAGCTTCGGAGAGCTTCTGTTCAACCATCTCAAAGCTCCCTGCTTGAGCGGTAATGGCACGATCATCAGCATAGATGAAACTCTCTGTCCCTTCTGGCACTGGCTGGTCATTTGTGTAGATGTTGAACATGGATGGAGCAAGCACGCTCCCCTGAGGCAGGCCGTTCTTCTGTTTCCGCCATCTGCTTCTCTGGCCCTGGAACTCAACAAAAAAGCTCCTGTTTTGTAGCAGGTTTCCTATGAGCGGGTGAGATGGTAGTCCTTTGTGATATTATACATTTTTCTCAGGAGGAGGCGGTGGTTCACAGTATCATAAGCCGCTGATATCTGCTGATATGTAAGGGTAATAATGAGGACTGAGAGGACTGTCAGTGATAGCACCACTCACACAGTATCCAGGAAAACTGGAAGAAAGAAAACACCCGTCTATTTGTATACAGGAAAAGGCTAAAAGCAGCATTTAAACATTGGCTGTAATGGAAGGTAAAAACAAGCTAGGAAGTCAGCCATCTTGTTGCATATGAGCATTATTTATTTATTTGTAGTATTCATTATCCCATTAAACATTAAAATAGAATTCAATATAGGATGATTAAAACAGTTAAAATCAAGAAAACTATGAAATAAGTCTATTCAACTACATAAAACCTGCCTGAAAAGAAAGGCTTTAGCCTTAGCTGCATTGGAAGCGCCCCAACAAATGAAAGAAATTATTTCTATGTTTGTTTTTGTTGTCTGAGTGCAGGTCTTTCTTCTTAAATAGGCTTGTTTGCCACCCAACAGACAAGGGAAGGAACCACAGTTCTCTTATTTGTTGGTAAAGAAAGGAAAGCACCTGCATTTGAACAACACAATGATCCAGCAGCAGATCAAAGCTGCATGGTTTGTTAGCTGCTCAAAACGGAGTGACTGAACAATGTACACCAGCACATTGCTCACAGCCAAGAAGCCAGAGGTCTAGCAATTATCTACCTTACTGTGCTATCAACAGGGGCGGCTCAACCATTACGCAAAGTAAGCCTTTGCAGTATAGTTGATTTTGCCCAGGGGCACTCTTGAGGCGCTCTTGGGGGAAAATAGACCTTGACATATCCGAGTTCTAGTTACTGGGATGCACAGTTCACCTACAATCAAAGAGCATTCTGAAGGTCCAACCTTAAAAATTAAAAATTGTTGACTTTAGAGGGGTATAACCTGAGAGTATTTCTGAAGGTCCACCCTTAAAAATGAAAAAAAAATGTTGACTTTAGAAGGGTATAACCTGAGAGTCAGGTGGCATTTGTACATGTGGTACGGCAAAACAAAAATGGAGGGTAACTTCGGAAACTATTTTATAAGATCTGCTCTGATTAAAGTTTGAGATAGGTATAATAAATATTTTTATACTAAAACACCTTTGTGGCTGTCACCGATAGAGGCAAAACAAAGAAGACTGTTAGGCTGGCAACAATGGCCAACCTATAAAGATATGTTGGAAAAAAATAACAACAATAACTCCTGGAAATTAAAATCTCAGGAGGAACTGGCCCAGAAATATAAAAATCTAACATGGTTACAATACTTCCAACTATTAGAAACATACAAAAGAGACGAAAAGACTGGTTTTGAAGAAAAAGAGACAACATGGGATAAATTGCTGAAAATAGAAAAGAAAACCATAACAAAGATATATAACCAACTACTAATGTGGGAAACGGAAACAGAAGAAATTAAAAACTGTATGGTACTCTGGGCTTAAAACATAGGGAGACCTATAAAACTCCACGAGTGACAACAAATTTGGAGAAAAAAGCTCAAATATACATACTCGACAGCCCTCAAAGAGAACTGGTTGAAGACTTTCCATAGATGGTATACAACGCCCCAAAAGCTGAGCTTAATGTATACAAAATACAAAAACACATGCTGGAGATGTAAAGAACAACCAGGTACCTATTACCATATGTGGTGGTCGTGTCCGGAGGTGAATAAATACTGGCAAACCATACAGAAAGAGGCTCAAAAAATACTAAAGAAAAAGATCCCTAGGAAGCTGGAATATTTTTTACTAGGCCTGAAGGATGAAGTCCTAAATCTGAACAGCAACGAAGATATCCTGCTAACATATATATCTACCACCGCTCGGATAACTTTGGCTAAACATTGGAAGGATGAGCAAAACCCAGAAACTGAAGAATGGCTAAATAAATTAATAGAAATAAAGGACATGGACAAGTTAACGTTCCTTCTAAGAAATGGCTCTGGAGGACCGGTAAAGCAGACAGATTGGACAGTTTTTGAGGAATACAAAAAAAGGAAATTTGAATGTTAAAATAATTGCGATAGAAATAGGCGAGATGCAGATAGATCTGTTATGGTTTGTGACGGGTGAAAATTAAAACAGGAGACCCCAAGGAGGGCCACCTAGCAACAAAGGTAAAATCTCTGTTCGGAAACTAAATGGAAGTCACAAGTTTTTAATTAGTGCAAATGTATATGTTGTTTATACTGACGTGAACGATCTACCCCTCCCCCTGATACTAGGGGGCCATAGTGGGCGAGTCGGTATAAGTATGTTTGTATGGTAATAAATGTATTGTGTGTATCCCCTCCCCTATCTTACCACTCCTCCCCCTTTCCCGCCACCCCCACCCTTCCTTTCCCTCCCCCCCTCAGGACTAAACCCTCCCCCTTCTCCCTTTGTGTTATTTATTGAAACTTAATAAAGATTATTTATTTTAAAAAAAGAGCATTCTGAACTCCACCAATGATGGAACTGAACCAAATATGGCACACAGAACTCCCACAACGAACAGAAAATATATATCAGTGATTGGGTTGGGGGGGGGGGGTGCACCAAAATACTGTTTGCTTACCATTGAAAATTACCTAGGGCTATCAAACCCACCCAACATCAAATAAGAAGATATCAGCCATGGAAACCCACTAGATGTCCTTGGGCAAGTTGAGCTCTCTCAGCCTCAGAAGGAGGCCGAAGCAAATTTCCCATGAACAAACCTGGCCAATAAAACCCCACGGTAGATTTAATTCATTGCTGCTGTAAATTGGAAGTGGCACGAAGGCACACAACAACTGCAAAAGTGCTGGGTACACAATTAAACACAATCAGACCTCTGAACAAACCTCTGAGGATGCTTGCCAGAGATGCAGGCAAAATGTCAGGAAAGAATGCTATTGGAACATGGCCACACAGCCCAAAAAGCTCACAGCAAACCAAAGCAGGAGTTGTTTTCATCAGCTCATATTACAGCTTACCTAAAATTATTTCCCACCCAGCAGTACAGTTAAGATCTTCTAAATAATAGGAATGACTATTGGTAATTTGCTTCTCGATTTAACATTCCAAGAGTTATTTTTAAGATTATACATAAAAAAATTGAATTCTGGCCTCCCAAAGTTTTAATCTAACATACAAACTGTCCTACCACACTGCTTTGGTTCACACCCAAAAGCATAAAACAGATGGAAGCTAAAAATATCACGAATCATGGCCTTCAGAATGGGAGCAGTTATACAAATTGCTTAACATATTTTTCTATGCCTTATACAGTCCCTTAAGGAAGTAAACCCATGGGAAGGTGAAGGAAAACGTACCAGAGTCTGTTAGATTTGGACACTCCATCGGTTTGTCCTTTGTCTGCCTTTTGGTTGTAGTTGAAATTTGGTGTGGGATGGTGGGAGGCTGGGTGGTTGTCTCTGTAAACAAAACGATGAAAGAATTTTGACTTGTCTAACATGCCTCATGCATTACACATTGAGGAAGGTGAAGTTGAGCATGTCCCCCCCCCTCCCCAATAAGGGATGGTAACTTATAGTTCTGTAAAGGGCAAGGGTACCAGACTGCACAATAGAGGTTAAGTCTTGGTCAATTTGCCAAGACACTAACAACAACAAGGACCCCAGGAGGCTTTCAGGGAGCAGATTGGTCCCTGGGCTCCAGCCCTTGGAAAGAGTTACAGTTTTCCAAGGGCCAAGGACAAGTCTCAACCTTAACGCTGCAGGACTCCCTTGATTGGCTCAGTGGAATCTTTTGGACCTTTCCTCATGAATTTCATGCTTTTAGTCATTCCTCATGGACCTTTTTGTTTCCCTTTCAAAAACATACTTTTATATGGACCTTTCCTGTAATGAATTATAAGCATATGGTTCCTGCAACGTCAACCCTATATATATTTTCCTTTGTGCTATTGGCCTTCCCTTGATCTTTTTCATTCCCTTCCAAAGACACACACATTTATGAACTCTTCCCATTATGGACTATGGACTTATGATATATATTTTCATGATTTTCCTTGTGGCTGAGGCTTTTTCCTTAGCCTTTTTTCCTTCCCTTTCCTTATGATGAAATCCCACCAGGAAATTGCAGAGCCCAAAACATTCACAAAGAACCTAATCCATAAATCTCTTGCATGGACAAGAACAAAGGTGGCATCCTTGCTCTCAGAGTTTCGCCCAGCAGGTGGGGTCACCCCTTGGCAGAACTTTAATCATTCTTCTATTTGGAGATCAGGGTGCCTTCAGAAAGCCCCCACCTCCGTTTTGATTGATTCAATTATTTACCCACTAAGGAACACTCATCCCAGTTTCTCCCCATTGTCCTCATGCTCCACTGTTCGGAAAGATCCAGATTTTCCTTTGTTTATGTTGATCCACTCCAATCAAGAAACAATAGGTTGGTCTTGCTTGAGACTATGAGTCTCGCAAGGCCCCCTGGCAGTTCCTTTTTTCAACTCATTCCTAAATTCTATTGTGTTTAATCATCCCGCCTTCCTTTCTCCTGATTCGCCGCCGCCGCTAGGCGGCAGAAGCTCTCTGATTGACTGCAACGAATTGCTGAAGCTTCCTGATTGGCCCTGAGGTGTGGGAGGCGGGAGGGCCACCTCCCAGCTGTTGGCTCATCGGCCAATCACAGCGAAGACCGGCAGGGAGGCAGGAGCGGGAATTTTGAACCTTGCAACTCTGTATTTCCTATAAAAATGTATTGATGTAATTTCTCATGCTCTGCTGGTGAATGATTGCGGCTCTGCGTCCTTTTCAGCTGAATCGCTAAATAAACCTCGATGGCTTTTCTTCAACCTTGGTGAGATTTATTTGGGAAAAATCAGGGAAAATTCTGGGCCTTTCTCCTCTTTTGCTTGCCAAGGGTTTCGGACTCTCTTTGGTGGGTCTAAGGGCTCCTCTCTCCTGGGCAGGAGCCTCCAAATTCTAGCTCGATAGCAAAGGGACTCTACAATAATCTTCTATCCACTGAACTCGATGGAATAGTGGAAGAGGAAGCAATTTATCAGAGCCCCAGCTTTTGAAGCTTCAGGTGAGAAAGGTCAGCATACCAACTTGTCATTTTTAAAACTCTTGTAGAGAGCACCTGCTCTAGAACCGGATCCAGAAAGGGAGGTAGACCAACCAAGCTCATTTCCCAAATGGAAAATCAGGAATACTTTGGTGTACAGTATACAGTGGAAATGTGGATGATCTGAGAGTGACTGGGAGTGAGGAAAAAGGAAGGAAAATGAGCACAGCCTGGATCAACCATCAGCTCCTGGCAGCAAATCAAGGGAAGCTCTCTAACTCATTCCAAAGAGGGTAGCAGGACAACAATTCATTCAGACACAACCCATGTGCAGCAGCCATGGTGTCCATGAAAGGTTTGTGACAGAGCTTACCTGGCAGGTAGACCGGGAGGCCTGGACTGAAAATCAGGTTCTGATTCTGGAGATTGACACAATAATACATGCCCTGATTGTCCTTTTGGAAACGCTGAATAATTAAGTGATAGTTGTTGCTACTTTTACTTGCACCATAGTTAGCTACGGAGTCTGGTTTTACATGGCCCCTTGTAGAGACATAGAAAATGAATCGCATGTCGTTGTTGCTTTGCTGAAATATCCAATACATCCCATTATCCGCCTTGCTGGTTTCACACTTCAATTCTACACTGGTTCCAAAACCTTGGGGTGATGTGATCATCTTGACTTTGATACTGTCGCTTTGGGACTTGCAGCAGCCTAAGAAAAGAAAAAAAGCCTAGTTAGTTAATTTACTAACAAGATTCTGAAGCATATTCTGTCCTGAAGTGGAGAGAACATTTTTACTTTGTTGACTGACGTTGCCCGAAATACAACATTGTATGAAGAGGGTGGGGTAAGCTCAACATTGGTGGCTGCGCGTGGATACAAAGGTTGTTTTCAAGCTTTCAGACCAGCCAGACTCCCCTGAATGACCTCTTTTGTTAAACAAGGGGTGAAAATCTCTTGAAAGAGTCCAAGGGTGACCATTTATTGAGGTTGTGCCCCAACCGCTTAGCACTAAAAACAAAAACAAACAAAAAATAACAATTTTTATAAACCAGAAGTACTCTTTTGGACTTTAGAAATGGCAGTGTCTTTTTAAGGACATTTTTTCCAATTTGTATGGCATCTCTGGGACACCGAGGGTGGATTATACTCCAGAGTTACAGATAGGAAAGTTAGGTTTAATGCTATCAATTAATTTTATAGGTTAGAAAAGTCATTAAATTATGTTTACACGAGAAGAGGAAATATCTAACCATTATGTTTATGTTAAATCGTTATTCAAGTTTAAACCAACGCCCTACCTTATTTGAATAATAATAATAATAATAATAATAATAATAATAATAATAATAATAAACCTTTATTTGTACCCCGCTACCATCTCCCGACCTTGAAGGAGCTGGGGGTGGTGACGGCCGACAGGAAGCTCTGGCGTGGGCTGGTCCATGAGGTCACGAAGAGTCGGAGACGACTGAACGAATGAACAACAACAACCATCTCCCGAAGGACTCGGTACGGCTTACAAGAGGCCGAACCCAAATATAATAGTAAAAACAACAGCAACAACAAACAGCAAAATAACTCAGAAAATAAAGCAATAACATTGACAACACACAATGACACAATTAAAAACAATGGCAGGGCCAAATGTAACAATTAAAATTAAAAGTGCTGGGCATGACCAGGTGGAGTGTTTGGAGGGGGATGGGCATGCAGATATCCTAGATCTCTGATAAAGTGTGCTGGGACATAATGCTAGGAGTTTCCTATTCTAGGAAGGCACACTAGAACAACCCTGTTTTCAAGCTCCTCCTAAAGATTGCTAGCGACAGGGCCTGCCTGATGTCCTTGGGGAGAGAGTTCCAGAGTCGAGGGGCCACCACAGAGAAACCCCTATCCCTTGTCCCCACCAATCACGCTTGCGATGCAGGTGGGATCGTGAGCAGGGCCTCTCCAGATGAACGAAGAGATCGTGTGGGTTTGTACACAGAGATGCGGACACGCAGGTAGACGGGTCCCAAACCGTTTAGGGCTTTGTAGATAAGCACCTGCACCTTGAATTGGGACCGGAAAATGAATGGCAGCCAGTGGAGCTCCTTAAACAGGAAGGTTAACCTCTCCCTGTAAGGAGCACCAGTTAACAACCTGGCAGCCGTCTGTTGGACCAATTGAAATTTCTGGGCCATTTTCAAGGGMAGCCCCACATWGAGTGCATTACAGTAGTCCAATCTGGAAGTGACTAAGGTGTGGACCACCCTGGCCAGATCCGCCTTCACGAGGTACAGTCGCAGTTGGCGCAYGAGTCTTAATTGTGCAAAGGCCCTCCCGGCCACCGCCGACGCCTGAGCTTCAAGCGACAGTGATGAGTCCAGGAGGACACCCAAACTGCGGACCTATGACTTCAGGGGGTGTGTAACCCCATCCAGCACAGGTTGCCACCCTATACCCGATCTAGTTTACAATMGACCAGGAGGACCTCTGTCTTGTCGGGACTGATCTTCAGCTTGTTCTTCCTCATCCAGACAGCCACAGYGGTCAGACACTCGTCCAGCACCYGAGGGGCTTCCTTGGAGTTAGGTGGAAAAGTGTAGTAGAGTTGTGTGTCATCTGCATAGAGAAGGCAACCAACTCCAAAACTCCAGATGACCTCACCCAGAGGTTTCATGTAGATATTAAAAAGTAAAATGCACTCCCCATTCTATTGTCTTTTTTTAATTGGGGGAGGACTTTACTTACCATGGATTACAAGTGTTTCTACACCTTTCGGAACTCCTCCAAATTCTATTGATGCAAAGAAATATCTATTTTCAGTGCAGATTGAGTATCCCTTAGCTGATATACATATTTTTGAGGGTTTTAACAAAAATATTTTGGAATATTTGTATACACATGATGAGATATCTTGGAGAGAAAGTCTAAACATAAAGAAATCATTTATGCTTCAAACATTCCTTTAATACACTTAGTTTGAAGGTAGCAGTATAAACAATACTTTTAAAACAAGTTTGGGCCTGAATCAAGGTTTGTGTACATTGAACCATCGGAAAGGTCTCATGTTCTCAGTCACTCCTTGTGAACAATTTCAAACAACAACAACAAACAATTTTGGAGTATTTCAGATTACAGAATAAGGGATATTCAACCTGTAATATTAATCCTTTACTATGTTTTGAATAGGCCAGGTTGATCAGCAACAGACTATTAACTTCAGAAACTCTAAATACAATTCATCTCACTGGATCTACTCTTAAGTAATCCGATCCCTTTGACCAAGACATTGAAATTTCCCATCTGTGAAAGACTAACAAAAAAATAAGGGACTGGGTATTTTTTAATCCAGACTTTCCTTTTGGTTAAATAATCAGCTAGATAATGCACAATTTGCAGGCTATCTAGAATAGTTTCTCATTTATTATTATTATTATTATTATTATTATTATTATTATTATTATTGGCAGCCAATGGAGCTCCTTGAACAGGAGGGTTGACCTCTCTCTGTAGGGAGCACCAGTTAACATCCTGGCCGCCGCCCGTTGGACCAATTGAAATTTCCGAGCCATTTTCAAGGGCAGCCCCACATAGAGCGCATTACAGTAGTACAATCTAGAGGTGACCAAGGCATGGACCACCCCGGCCAGATCAGCCTTTGAGAGGTGCAGTCGCAGTTGGCGCACAAGTCTCAATTGTGCAAAAGCCCTCCAGGACACTGCCGACACCTGAGCCTCAAATGTAAGTGATGAATCCAAGAGGACTTCCAAACTGCGGACCTGTGGCTTCAGGGGGAGTGTAACCCCGTTCAACACAGGTTGCCACCCTATACCCCGATCAGGTTTGCGATCGGCCAGGAGGACCTCTGTCTTGTCGGGATTGATCTTCAGCTTGTTTAGAGAATAATTAGCATAATAAGTTAATTCTGGAGTCAAGTTAATTCTGAAGTTGAAACATATCAATTTACTAAGTTAAAAATAAATTTAAATAAGCTACCCCCTTTTGTTAGAAAATGTTAGAAAATATCCAAATAAATGTACTTCTAAGAAAATAAACCACCCTTTTAAGAAACAACTCTGATTTTAAAAGTTAGTTTTCATCACTATCTGGACTTACTATCTGGATATTACTGTTGCAAAGATACTAAGTTTAAGTAGATTGGCAATGTGGTACATGGCTTAGATCAGCAGTTCTCAACCTGGGGGTCGCAACCCCCAGGGGGGTCGCTGGTCCATTTTCTGGGGTCACGAAGGCACCTTGGTTGGCCCCACTCCACTCAAAATGGCTGCGTGAGGCCTCCCTCGCGTCCCTCGTGCTCCCGCTGACCTGCAGGGGTGCGGGGCAGGTGAGGGCCCTTTGCTGCAACCTTGCCTTGCTCGAGGCCTCCCTCGCGCTCCCGCCAGCTGGCAGGGGCACGGGGCAGGCGAGGGCCCCTTGCTGCAAAGCCTTGCCTTGCGCGAGGCCTCCCTCGCATCCCTCGTGCTCCCACTGGCCGGCAGGGGTCCTGGGCAGGCGAGGGCCCCTTGCTGCAACCTTGCCTTGCTCGAGGCCTCCCTCGAGCTCCTGCCGGCTAGCAGGGGCATGGGGTAGGCGAGGGCCCCTTGCTGCAAGGCCTTGCCTTGCGCGAGGCCTCCCTCGCATCCCTTGCACTCCCGCCGGCCGGCAGGGGTGCAGGGCAGGCGAGGGCCCGTTTGCGCAAGCCCTTTCCTTGCCCAAGGCTTCCCTCGCGTCCCTCGTGCTCCCGCCAAAAAAGTCTCGGCTTATACTCGAGACAAGGTTATTTATTATTTTACTTTGTTATTATTACTATTTTCATTTCATTTATTATTTTATTCTATTTATTATTATTACATTTATCATTTTACTCTATTATTACACATTCATTATTTTACTGCATAATTGTTGTTATTGCTACATTCATTATTTTACTCTTTTTATTATTGTTGCTATTACATTTATTATGTTACTTTATTATTATTGGAAGGATACGTAAGCACATTTACATTGAAGAAGGTAAATAATCATTTAATCAGAGTTGGACAGTCTTATCTACCGAGCCCAATTCAAGGTGCAGGTGCTTACCTACAAAGCCCTAAACGGTTTGGGACCTGCCTACCTGCGTGACCGCATCTCCGTTTTCGAACCCACGCGCTCACTTCGTTCATCCGGAGAGGCCCTGCTCGCGATCCCACCTGCGTCGCAGGCGCGTTTGGTGGGGACGAGGGACAGGGCCTTCTCTGTGGTTGCCCCCCGACTTTGGAACACCCTCCCCAAAGACATTAGACTAGCTCCCACGTTGGCAGTCTTTAGGAAGAACTTGAAGGCTTGGTTATTCCGATGTGCCTTTCCAGAATAGGATAACCTCCAGCACTATGTCCCAGAAGCACTTTATTAGACTTTAATACTCTCTGCACATTCCACTTACCCAGAATTCCACCTCACACACCCAGCACTTTTAACCTGTACCCATCATTGGCCCAGCCCTGATTTTATTGCGTAATAGTGTAATGTTTTGTTGTGTTATTGCTTATGTTTTTTAATTTGCTTGCATCGTTATTGCTGTTGTTGTTACGTTGTGGCCTTGGCCTTTGTAAGCTGCATCGAGTCCTTCGGGAGATGCTAGCGGGGTACAAATAAAGTTTAATAAATAATAATAATAATATCTTAAATTACCATTTTTGTAAATATTCAAAAATATATAACCTACTGATTCCTCAATTAAT